CCCAAACCCAATACAGATATAGATCCGTCGCGAGAAGCTCTACAAAACCTGATATATAGCTTTCTGCTTCAACATAATTTTGAAAACCGGCAGGGTCCTTTCTTTTTTTATAAATAAAAATTAGTTATAACTCTAATGAATATAGCATATAATCCATGCAAACGTTTAGTTAAATGATTAATATGATTATATAAGATAATGTTTAAACCGGATTTTCCATAAATCGTTCAGGTTTATTATCAAGATTTCATATTTTTTATTCTTTCTTTCTCAGCGAGAATAATGTATACACATTTGAAAACGTGTACAATTTTGAAAACACGCACACATACACACACATGTAACTAGGAGATTTTGGACTGAAAAAAACAACGACCGGTTTTCTCTGTTCTTTTAGGGGGCGCTTCATAGAGCGCAAAACAAACTGTGCTCAAAACACTACAGTTCATAAAAATTTTAAAAAACATACATACACACAAATGTTTCAACAGTCACAACAAGAAAAATAAGATCGATCATTTCAAAAATTATCATCAACAGCTTTCAAGAAAGAATATGTGACAAAACATGACAAAAAAAAACAGAAAGAAAAGGAACGGGACTACAGGCAAAAATACTTGAAAAAAAATGAATGTTTTTCTATGAATACTGCCCGGGTGACGATGATTGTCCAGTGAGAAATTGTGGCATTTTGATTTCAGCTTTGCCCTGGTCTGGATCCATTTCTCCTAAAGTTAACAGACAAACCATAAAATCAATGGATTCTCATTCAGTACGTGTGTTGAAATCTTGGACTTTTTAGATAGTTTTACCTCCATCTTGTGCTTGTTGTGCCATTAGCATTTGTGAATAACGATTAATAAGAATGCCAGTTCCTTCGATCATAGCTAATATAAAACCACCAATTACAGCGGAACCCAACATTGCTGATGGACCTTCTGAAAAATAAAATATGAGCTATGATGAAATTAATCATAGTACTAATTGTAGTAGTATTAATCATAGGACGTACGTCTTGCTTGTAAAATAGCACCTGTCAATGCACCACTCATAATCGAATTCCATGGATCTTCTTTCTTTCTCATATAAACAAAACCACAATCGATTGTTGAAAATATTGCCCCCCACGCACTAAATGATGCTAAAAAACAGACAAAATATATCTTAATTAAGTAGAACATATGAGAATAAAAAGTCATATTTACCCCCCACACGTGGCGCACGTTGTTTAACGGCATTCAGACTTCCAATCAATCGTCGATATTGTCCGCTTGGTGCATGGCGAAATCCTTTTATCGAATGAAATAATGTTCCACCAATTGCACCTAGTGCAAAAGCACCACCACAATCGTCAACTATACGCCAAGGACTAAAATAACAGATAGAATTATATGGTTTATCAAAAAGCACGAGAAAATTCCTACCATGGTTCACGATCCATTTTATATTAACAAAGAAAACGAATAGAAAATAAATTACAACAATGGAAATTTTTAGATTTTTTGTTTAATTAATAACGATATCTTTAGGTTATCTATAAACTGTTATAGAAGACATCTAAAACAGATTAAATTTAACAGACATTTTCTAAACAGTAAACGAAAGATGGCAATAAGGCGCACTTTTCCGACATATATAAATAACTTTGTGAAGACATGAAAAATAATTCACATGGTGTAAGATGTCCAAAAACATATTACTCATGGTTCTGCCAATAGTCACAATTCATGTTTTGAATGAGAAACAGATTTTTCTTTTAATCTTATGAAAATCAGAAACACATCTACCTCTTTTTCGATAAAAAAAAAGAAAAAAGAAACATTCATTAAAAGCAATAACAAAATATTTAAAAAAACACACTTAGAAAAAAACTTTTTATCAGAACATAATAAAAAGCTGAAAAATAGAGAATAGCGCAATATGTGTGTCAAAATAAATATCAGAGTTCAGGCTATCTCACTAAAAATCATTCATTTATTTTAATATAAACTCGATTTTAAACAAATGCTAATTTGATTATTCTTCTGTATCAGTGAATAATATTTTCATTTTGGAAAATATTTAACAAGTAATGTTTGACGACGTCTTTCAACAATATGTCGTTGATTTTCGATATCCTAGAACAAAAATAATTCATAATTTAATTTATTTGTTAAATAAATTCATAAACGTACGCCTCGACTGTGTGAAGTGGCTCGTTCAATTTGATAGGATAAATTTTCAATTTCAACTTCTAATTGAGCTTGAATATTTTCAAACTATTCAAATAATAATTAAATGTTTGATTAGATGAACAATGTTTGATTCAATATAATTAAATCTTACCAAGGTTCGATCAACATTATCTTCAAGATAATATGCATAGGGATAAGTATACATAAGAGTATAACGAGCCTATAATAGAACAAAAGTAATTGATTATAGTTTTATATTCTCTCTTTTCGAGAAGAGTTAGAATATTTATCGTGTATAAAATCATATTTCATCATACTTTTGCTAACGAATCAGCTGCTTTCTCTAAATATTGCCAATCAATGTATGTGCCAATTTGTGAATTAATATTATTATCAATTTTTTCTAACAATTTACTTCTTGTTTGTTCTTCTAATTTCAAACTTCGTTGATGATTATCCCACTAATAACAAAAGATATTGAAATACAATAAGATGTTAAAATAAAATATTTTAAAAAAAAACATACACGTTCAAAATAATGTAAATATTTTTTTAATGCTTCACGTGCTCGACTTTGTACAGTTTCTAATTGAGATTGTGGTTGACCACGATATTTACTACAGTCATAATAATTATTCTCATGAGATTTCCAATCTAAAATAAATAAATAAAAAATTATTATTATTTTATAAAAAAAAACATTTTTTATTAAGAATAATGAACTTACCTCCCAGACACATCCAACAGAAATGATGATTACACGAAAAACAAGACTAAAATGATAGTTGTTAAATAATGTACACGATAAGTGAACGAAGTAAAAAATAATTCCTACCATATGATTACATCCACCATTTTTCTCAATGCATACATGGCATTTGGGACACTAGAGAAAAATGTTCAAAAATAAGTTTCATAATTGAAATTTTCTATTTTTAACGTTTAAAACTTACATCTTTTGTATTTGCAAACACTAAAAATATATAAAAAATTATTGTTTTTAATGATTTGAACAAATTATAAATGACTTACTATAGTTTGCTGTTTCAGAATCATCACGACATTTTGTTAACCAATTTTTCATTATATCACAACTAGCTGGAGCATGATAATCAAGTTTACATTGAAAACTATTTTATTTGAAAAAAATAAAAAATAAGAGTAAATATTATAATATAAATTAATTTAAAAAATATTATACCAGAATTTTAAACCACATAATTCACAATCAACTCTTCCAGGCATTCGTTTATCTTTTGCTTCGAATATACGTTCGCATGTTCCTGGACAAAATGTTAATTGTGAATTGCTCTAAAGAAAATATTTATAAAATTATTTAATGAAATATTATGTTATATACTTACATTAAATAATTGCTTTAATGTCATTTTTTTGTACAATTCTTTCGCACTATCTGATAATAAATGTTGAAGAGCAAAATTTTGTGGTACACGTAGGTCACATTTCATACATTCAATATCTAAAGAGAAAAAAAGAAATATCAACATCTTTTTAAACTTTTTCAAGAGAAAATTTATACTTAGACAATAGCCATTTTTGAATTTTGTATCTATATATTGACACCAACAATCATGACAAAATGAATGTCCACATGCTAATGATTCAAAATCATTTGTGTTCGAATATGATTTCATACAAATTATACAGATTAATGTAGATGACTGTTGAGATGATGATGAGTTCGATTTCTAAAAATATAATTTGAAATTTTTAAAAATCATTCAAAAAATTTAATAGAAAAAATATACACATACAGAAATGATTTCAGGATGTTTTGGTTGAATTCGAGCTTCTTCGAGCAATAAATGCGATCGTAGTCGATAACTGAATATATAACAAATATTTTAAACAAATGTTTAGTAACATGTCTTACTTTTACATACTCTGCTAGTATACTCTTTATATCCCAATGACGAAGAAATAATAATAGTTCAACTATTGATGGGTCAAGCTGAAATAAACACAGTTAGAGTGATTATAAAAATTATAAACATTGAATAATTTACATTTAATTGTTGTGATAATTCATCTAGAATCTGCTTTAAACGTATTTCCATTTCTGGTAATGTACAAACAAAATAAACAAATTGTTCTGCATCACCCCAACACGTATTATTATTTGGATCATCGTAATCGTTATCATTTAAAATTTCATCGGTGTTATAATTATCGTAATAAGGTGATCCGTAATCATCATCATCTAAACAAACTATCATTCGTTGAAGATTACTTTAATTTTTTATTCTTTAAGGATTATTTTAAGGTCAGATTTTGGTCTCTCGCTTTATCTATTAAAATTAGTCTGAAATCTTCTTCGAAGATAGTAAATGACTCTTCCCCTCACACATGCTTGTACATCGATTTTATTTGAACTTACCAAATGCTTCACCGCTCTCAACTGAGTGTTCACTCATAAGCGAAACAAATTACACAAGAAAGGTAATAAAATTAATTTGATTTCTAATAAAGGTATGTGAAACGAAATTAAAGATCTGAAAATAAAAATATGACAGCTATACCAATATGCAGCATATTAGTGGTGTTCAGTATCTGATTTTGTCCGAAAGGAAAATGATGCAAGAGAAATCGATCGATTATAGCTAAACTGCACTAATTAATTTTCAGTGTGTCATGTACATTTCGTTCATGTGATTATTAAACGTCTAACTAGAAGTTTTATCTGTAAGTTAACGTTGATCCATATTTATTTTCAACAGTTAAATTAGAATACTACGAAACAGGCAAAAAAAAGATATTTTCACATGAACATCGTTTCATTAATTTGTACATGAGACCTTCGTCTTTTTAACAAATAGTTCACTCTAGCATATATTACAACATAATTCAAAATTTCTAAGAAAGATTTGAAAATTAGTTGGTCAGATCAGAAAATGTTCAACGTCTTTTGTTTTATATACATAAAATTCTCTGATCTTGAAAAATTTTCATCGGGCAACATTATTCTATTGGCTTACGACATACAACCAATTATAAGAAAACAAAAGATGACGTTAAAGAACAATTGTTGATAGAATTGCTTGCCTGAAGGGGTCTTTCACAGTCCTGGAGAAACTTCGGTCATTGAGCCTTTTGTAAATACTATCGTACACTCTAAAGTATTTGAGAGAACAGTTTCATTTTTTCTCATCACTATCCTAGTCGACACTCCCCCTAAACTCCTCCTATAACTCCCCCAAAATGCACCAGAGTCTAGTAGGAGATCTCGCGGAACCACCATACGTGGTCCCCAAAGAACTGAAGCGGAGATTGGTGGACTTCCAAAGGGATCTCCGGTTAATCCACCAAGCTCCCTAGGAGATCAGCATGATGATCTACCACACTCCCGCGATGGTGCCCCGGGGAGTCTAGTAGACCATCCGGGAGTGAGGGAGACTTAGCAACAGAACTAAGAGTAACTCATTAAACTCGTACGGTTTTGCTATATATGGTACCTAATGTTGAGGTACGATCACTGATACCACTGTAACACATATTAGCCAGTAAAGGCCGACACGTTAGTGACAACTAACTAGAAGAAAATTCCTAAACTTTTATCAGAGAACTGTATTATATTTATATATTGTTATCTGCATAAAAAGAAGGTGAATGAGTTTGGCAGCGAATTTTGGGGGAGGGGGGTGTCGACTAGGGTGTATCAAAAGCGACTCCCCTGGCGATCCTCATAGGATCACCGGTGGAGATTCATCGACGTGGAACTCACTGCTGAATCTCCAGGAGATCATTAGGCGATGTTTCTGGAAATGGTAGACTCCCCGCGGGGAGTCTACCATACCCTCCCGGGGCCCCGGGAGGGTTGATGGAAGAGTCTCGACTAGGGTAGTTAGAGTCTAGGCTGAGGGCTGTGACCTAATTTAACTGCCTAATTTTAGTCTGGATACTTTTTAACATTTGTTAATGCTGTTTTACAAATCTCTTTACTATCGTCGCTAATGATGAATGAGTCGCAATATTCTTACCGTGATCGTAACTGAATCACAAACTTGCGACGTGACTACACAAGACTTATGACGCTATCACTTTTCAAAACTGCAATCTCTTTTATTTCCTTTCCTTTGCTTATAATTGAAATTTCTAAATAAGTCTAGATCATGACTAACATTAGCCGAGTTATCTATAGGATTAATGATTGTTGAGATGTGCCAAAACTTAGAAAATTTTTCAAAAACCAGTAGTAATTTTTTTTTTTTACTATATACTTTACACACAATAAAACGGTGAATGGAATAGACACCTGAGTCCCGCCGCGACTTTTCTTAATATTGCTGTTGCAAAAGAAAAGCACGCGATTGCGGCACAACTTTAAAACTTTACTAAAAAAAGCTATTTTGACGCGAGTCGCTATAGTGAGTAATGGCGTGACTCCGTGAACTGAACGCGACCGCTTTAAAGAAAACGCCACAAGCGCGATTTTCAGATTTTTTGAAAAATAAGAATTGATCGTGGAGCGAGAACCGCTTACGCGCTGCGACTGAAACAAAAAAGTCAACTTGTAATAGTTTATTAAAAGTGAAACATTGTTCAATCAAACCTGCATAGAAATTTTGTTCATTTCAGTAAGTGCTTATGGGACTTATACATATTAGTACATACAAAAGTAATAATCAATTTGCCATAAGAATTATACGTATCTGTTTATAGAATGATCGAATTTTTATTATAGTTCTTATCAACAAGAATATAGTACGAAGCCATTTCAACATGGTATTAAAAACTGGAATTTTAATAGATTTTTCTTCGAAATCGTTTTGTACATTGTACAAGTACAAAAAAAAATATTGTTTTCAACAGTTTACTAATCCAATCATTTCTAATAAATATTCTAATGCAATTTATTGTCATATATTTTCTTTTGAGATGGGCAACAACTTTAAGATAAATTGTATTGTTAATGCAGTTATGTGAAATGACAGCATTCTTTTATGTTGTGACAATATTTCAACCTATTATGGTCATTATCACGTAATTTACAATTTATCTTAAAGTTTATTGTTCTTAGAGAAATTTTTTTTTGTCTATTTTTCTTTCCTTATGAATTTAAAACAACTATTTAAATCTATTCCTGGATTATGCTAATATTTTGTATGTTATAAATTTCGATCCATACGGCGTCGAAGTCAAAATACCAAACTGATTAGACAACTAGCCTACATCTAAAAGATGACTGTACTTTAAGATTTTCATTGTTATGAACTGTTTATTTAAGTTATATAAAACTATAACATTTTAAACTGATATCTATCCGAAACCACGAAACACACAATGAGACAAACATTAATTCTTCAGCTTTGAAGTATTGAAATATCCTTAACAAAAGGCGTTTAAGAAAAAACGAGATAATATTTAACCGTATATAAACTGAAAAGAAAAACAGTCAATATTTAGAGAACCATTTAATGAAATATCTAATAGATACGTAACAAACAACAGTTAGTTCAAGATTTGTAAAAACAAACAAATAAGAAATAAACATAAAAAAAAAGAATTAATTGTTTGATAAACAAAAATGAACATACATAAAAATATCTGGTATTGAAAGACATATAAAAATAGTTTGTTTCTTCGTGGAAGAAAATAAATCGGTTAAATATTAGATCGTCGTTTTTTCTTTCGTGACTGCTCAAAACTATGTTTGGGACGAGCCTAAATTGTCAATGACAAACGATAATAAAGGAGTAAAATAGTCTCTGTGAGAGTAGACTTTTATTTGTTTGTTATTTACTTACTCGAAACATAAATGAATAACTCAATGGAACATTCACAGTCTTAAATAGAAAAATAGAAAGTAGATTTTATAATTGTAAACCCTTGTTATTTATTTTTTATAAATTCAGACATTTCAATTGTACTTTATGATAAACATTAAAGCTATACAAAGTAGAACGGATAATCTTATTCTTTTACTCAAACGACAATTATGTATCACAATTCTTAAATATCTTCTTCATTTAAAAACATTTTTAACATTTTATTTTGTGCTTACTGATGGTGGTTTTGTGTCTACAAATAACTCATCGTCATCGTTAGTATATAAATTTGTGCTGGTTTTAGTTGTCAGAGATTTTCTACTAGACGGTAACTGAGACAGAAGAAAAGAAAAATGTTGATTAGTGTCAAAATATGTTTTACTGCGCAGATACCTGATGAATTTTTTCTTCTATCACATTGCGAGTTTTACGTTTTTTTGAATTTTTCAAACTTGTTGACGGCGACAATTTAGTGACTGCATCGAGATTCTAAAAGCAGAGAAAATCATACTATCGGTAAACAGTTTTTATAAAACTAAACTGAAAAAAAAACCTCTAAAGCAGAGCATTTGTTTCTCATTAATATCGTTTAACGGCTCTTCTAAATAAGTTGTCGCTCAATGAAATAGCAGAAAAAAATGCATTTAGTAGACTTCTACTCTTTCACTCAAAAATGGATGAGACGAAAATATTTTATCAGTTCAAAATAAGAAATGACTATCATTTTTTTAGAAAAAAAATATTCTACTTTGTACCCAAAAGAACCCTGTACCCGCTCACCTTCGCTTTTCAGTTCAAACGAGTTTATGTTCCTTCAGAAGATGATATATGAAATAGTAGACATCTTTAATACATACTAATTCATTATTTTCAATTTCTTGTATACAAAAACGTGCTTTTAATGAACATAATTCTTTGTCTAGTTCCATATTCTATAGAGAAGGTAAATACGAAATATAAATATGAAATGTACAAAAAAAAAGTTAGAATATCTCACCTTTCTTTCTAAACTTTCACGATGTTCAATATTCACTTTTTCATATGAAATATATTGCGTCTAAAAATGACACATACGTCATTATTCGCATCAAAATTATTCTACCATTCTAACCAAAAGATTAAAAGTGAATAATATTACAACTTCTGACAATAATTTATGATTTTGATTGTTTTATTCTCATATATTTTTTTTCTCCAAGCCTAATGCTTCGAATAATGAACAGAGTATATTTTAGAGAATAAAAACAGTTCAACACGTTTCTCTATTTTATCGAAAGAAATCCTATTCGTACCAATTGTCTTGTAAGACGTTCATTTTCATTTATTATAGAAATCATTTTTTCCTGTTCATTTTCTTTTGATTTAAAAAGGTTTTCATATCCTGTAATAGTTGAATCCAATAATTTTGATAATGTTTCATACTGTAGACGAAGTTCATTGTCAAGAGTCTAAAACAATCACGATCATGAACAGTTAATTTGAGTGATTTAAATGCCTACCAGATGTAAATTACTTTCAACAAATTGTCCATGATTATTTGTCTAGGAAAAAACTAAATATGTAAAACAAGTACGTATGTATATAAATTACTCTTTCAACTCACTTCATTTCGTTTGCAGTTAGTTCCGTTTAGACGTTGTTCAGTGATGATAATTAAACAATCGAGACATTGTGTATATTGAGAATATTGATCTATTACTATTTTATATTTATCTCTAGTTTCTTCCAATTTTTCGAGTTTCACTTTTGAACAATTTTCACTTTCTTTTAAATCAACTATTTTCGTTTTATAAGCAATTCCTTCTGCCTCCAATTGCTCTGTTTAAGAAAAAGACAACGAGTTCATACACAAACTTCAACGCATTTAAAATTTTTCATACTGATTTTCGTTGTTTTTATATCAATTTCTTGACTCTGAGATAATAATACATCTTTTAAATGAGCTACATCATTAGCTTTATCGGCTAACTGCATTTCTAGTGATTTAATCTAATAAACAAACAATCGATGATCTTCGATATATAAAAAACAACAACAGTATATTTACTTGTTCATTGAAACTCGTTTTGATGCACGTGAATTCTTGCATGAGTATGTTATGTTCTTGTTTGACTGAAATAAACAGAAAAATATCGAAAATATTGGCTAAAATCTAATTCATTTTTTTAATTTTATACCTCTTGTTAATTCATTCGTCTGATCTGTATACATTTGTTTTAATAAACTATCACGCTGTTTTGAATACATCTAAACAGAATGCACACAAAGAGTACTAGAAAGATACAGTTTTCCATCCAACTATTATAAATACCTCATATTGTTTTAACGATTCATTCAATTGATTATTAAGTTCATTAAATAATATTAATTTTTCACTCTACATTGACAAAAGAGCAACAGTAATCATTTAAATAAACGAGATTCGTTAAAAGCGATTATCTACCTTTCCGATAAATAACAAGAGCACAGAGCATCAACTATTTCGCTAACATCTCAATAATTAAAGTTCAGATCTAATCACTCACGTTTTCATTAAACAGAGTATCCATCGATAAATGACTAATTTCCGTTGAATTAATACCATGTGGAGAACTGGATGAAGTAACGAATTGTTGCGACATTATCTGAACAATCAAAATTGACATTATAGAAAACAGCATGGTCTACATTTTGTTAGCGAAGCAATCCACTCGGGTATAGAACAAAGTGCAGAAACATGATCGGCTTCTTAGGGGGGATCGAACTATCTAAGAGAAAATATTTTCAAATTAATTCTGTAAAATAATTTACCATCGGTCAGTGGCACATCGATAGATGTCATCGGCTCTAGAGAATCACTATGTTCTTTTCCCAGTTTAATCGAAGGAACACAAAATACTCCACGAAGAAGACGCAGAAACTACGAGATGGAAGTTTTAGGTGAGGAAAGAGTATATAAAAAACTATTTTGATTCTCTCGGTGTTCTGATATTATTCTACGTAACAGCCCCATATGTAAGCAGACTACATTTGACACTTGCAATTTGTGTGTTAAACTATTTGTCAATTAAAACTATTTCTGAATAAGAAAGACAGTCAGACTATGCGCTGACTTCTAAGACAAAATGCACAGATTGATGTCGCTACTAGCATACACATAACTGACAGGAAGGTGAATGACAGAAGCACTATTCGGCGAATCTTAGCTAATTATATTTTCAAAACTACATATATAGATGATGATTCAAGTATGAAGAATTATTTTCATATGATAGGATTTGTAATTTGTTTCTCTGTATGCTCATCGAAAAGTGTGTAGCATCCATAGACCAAACAATTTAAGTGATGCCTTACTTAATGTTCAGAAAAATAATGTTCAAGAAGATATTCGATAGTTTCTAGAGAGAAAAGACATTTAGCGATCATTTTTTCAAAATAAGACAACAAGATTATAATTATTGTCCTCTCAGATGGATGAGCGTCTCGAAATTAAGTAAGGCTCACGAAGTTTTACTTCTTTCCTTAAAAAAAGCATTTCGAATCACATTAAACTGTAATTCCAACTTGTCTGATAATAATAAGATCTTTTTCAAAAATAGATTTATTTACGCAACGTGGATCCAGTAAACTTATTTTCCGGAAGTGTTTAGAATTTACTGTCTCGGGACCGCAGTTTAGTACTTCAGATTACGAGGATTAAAGTGTTCTTTCCACTTTCCAGGTTCTTATAAATAGAGAAGAAAAAAATCGAGTAGTTGATTGTATTTTTTATGCAGAAGAATGCATCAAATCAAAATGAATACTGTATTTTCAATACACGCGAAAAATGAAATCGAATGAGCTTTTTATCACATTTCCTATAACTTTTATGATTTGCGAAAATGAATTTGATAAGGGTCTCTTCCAGGAAACTTCAATACTGAAGTCTCTCATATCTCGCTATTTTGAGAGATTTAGTTGATTTTATCAATATTTAACAGAAATAAGAAATCAAAAGTGATTCTTCAAAATAAAATTTTATTCATGGGTAGGAAAATAGTTTAGACTCTCTCGTATCTAAGGGAAATAAAAGTTACAGAGAAAGATGTAAAGACGTTTCATTTGGCTTCGTATTTTACATTGATTTCGAACATTCAAATAGGAATCCAGACATCATGGGGTGCGTTCGATGTTTAAGATTGTTTTTAATGGAAAAATAATGCAAATACAGATCAAAACTCGTTCATTATTCTGTATTATTGGCTCGTGCCGAACAATTGCATAATTGTTTCCAATTTTGCGATCATATTTGAATATGAATAGAATAGATGAGCTGATTTCGAATAGTTTTTTTCTTTAGAAAAGTTTAAAGACCAGAATAACGGAATTTACTATAAAACTCGATTTTGTTTTGTACCAGGTTCAGGGAGAAAAACGCATACACCATGAGTGATAGGACAGTACATACGATAACTTTAACATAAACTGTATTATTAGAAACATATCGCGCTAGATTTGGACATTCTAGAAAATATCAGCAGTATAGAAACAACATCAATGTTTCTTGGGTATCATGTAAAGAGGTTGTACATAGTTGAAAATTTTAAATCTCGCCCAATGATCGAAAATTAAAATTCGATTTGCTTGCGTTTTGAAAGATGTTTTCTATTATAGCGATTTTCCTAAAGTAATAGGTTATTAAAACTTCTTTTCTTGTTTTTGTGAAAACTTCCAAGAACTAGTCCGATTTTTGAAGAAAATGTCAGTTTCGCTTACACGAACTTTTGTGTACCAACTGTACATATCTTTATCAATCAGCTAAATTTGATACAATTGATCAAATTGCATCGCTACGGATAGTGGTGATTGTTGGGGACGTTTGCACGGGCGACTGACAAATTGCGCTATTATAATTAATTGTGATGAATGCAATTAAAAAGTCTATATAGATAGTGATAATTCTATTGGTTATGGACTGTAAACATCATTGCTCGTTGTTAATACAACAGACACTTTTTAGTAAACATTTATTCATCTGTGTTATACTTTCATTAATAAGTAAAGTCCAAGTTATTCTACGCTATACGCTCTCTTCTTCTTATCTATATTGCAGTCATGAAGTTTTCACTTTCTTTTCCAACAGAGCGATGCTAACAAGCTTTTGTCTAAAGAATGGTCAAAGTAGGCTGATTTTACAGAAGCGTTTGATAAAACAGATTTCTTTTCTAAAAAAAAACAGTTTATTCGTCAAGCATTGATTCTCGTTTTTGTCATAAGCAGAGTACCGGTTGTTCTTGTAAATGCTGCAAATTCGCTTTCTTGCAAAACCAGAAAATATTGCACAATCAGGCTGTCTTCATACTCAATTAGTTTTAGATAGAAAGTAATTTTACATCAAATGATATTTACTCTCAAACTGTCAAAGTTTAACCGTAGTTGACGTGATAACAAAGATGAAAACTGTTCATTAGAGTCCATTTAGGGCTAAAAAAAACTCAACTGAATCGATGTTTGTATGTACTTCATGTAAAAGTGAAAAATTAAAATGTGATAGACAACGTACAAATTTTACATTACTGTGTTTAATTGAACAGTTGAAATAGTCTATATTAGGCAAAAAGAGTATCCGTTACCAAATATCTTAGTACGATGCGAGCTTTCATGGTGAAAAAAGAAAAAGTTTCGATTATTGGATAAGGGTTAGTATTGTCTGATTAACTTTTATAGCAATCTGCGCGCTTGTACCCTTTGTTTTCTCAATCAGTGTGTACGTGAATATTCTGTTTTTTACAAAGTGTATCAATTCTGAAAAAAAATATGCCAATGAAATATGAGAACTATCAGTTTTTCTCTAAAAACAAGTATGGATATCTTGAGTAAAAATAACGAAAATTACGTTTTGACTTCAGAACACCGTTAAAAACGGTGCACTCTGTTTTTTTCGTAGTTTAAAACAAAATGTACCTTTGTTTTTCATAGGGGTAGTACACTTTTTTTTCATTAAAAACACTGGTGTAAGTATGATCTGTAACGGCACTGAAGTCGTCATACGTGTTTTTAGTTGACAACTATCAAAGTATTGTTGAATTAGATTACCAATCTTTTACACCTTATTTATGCATATAAACTCTATCTAATAAATAAAGCTTAAAACTAGGGTTGGTACGTTACTTTTCCTCGTGTAAGAATAAATTTGCCGTTACTTGTCGAAAATAAGGAATCATTAAATGTGAATAGGCTAATTAAAAAGAGAAAATCTAGACATGTATCACAAAAGTATTTGGAGAATAAGAAATCTAGAGAACAGAAAAAAAATTTAAACTTTACATTTTACTTTTATGTATTTAGTAAAGTAATGATAATGTGTGTCTTTCACTTGAAACATTGGTGTGGTGATCTAATTCAACACTATAATCAAACTGTTGTGTATCTTGGTACCACGATTTTAACGAGAAAATCTGAAACTAACCTAAATACGAACACTTGCTTGAGAATTAATTAAATTGATCTGTTGAAACAAAGTTGACTACAAAGAATCAGAAATTCTCTTTTTTCCAGTAAGAGCTTCGATCCTACTAAATCGTACACACGAACCGCCTTAGCATTGAATTATCTGTCATACTAGAGAATTTTGTTAGATCCAACAGAAAATTTATTTTTCCTCAACTGAAATAAATTGTCTCAAATCCTTTTTCTTCCTCTTTATAATCATCTTCTGGTTTGTCCTTTTAATGAACATAATATTTCTTTTATTTTATAGCGGAATAAAAGAAAGTAAAATTTGAAGTTACGTCGATGTTATCCAAATGTATTATATCGCCATTAGTTTATTTTAATCTATTTTCTTCATCTCTTTTTACTTCTCTAACATCTTCATTTAAAAATACGACGGGTAGACAAATGTCTTATGATAACGGTGATCATAATGAATCATCTTCAATTCATACTGCACAATTAACGGAAATATACGACATTCCAATGAATCAGATACATCGTCCTCTTCAATCAACATTAGATGAAAACAAAGTTTATTCACTAATGAAGACTATAAAAGTATGAATAAATAGATCATTGGAATTTGTTGGCTAGATAAAAATAGATTCTATTTTTTTTAGACAATCAAAAATTCAGATCAAATTCCTCCTATCGATGTATTATGGTATAAAAATCCAGAATCTGGAAATAATTATTATTTTTCATTTGGAGGATGCCATCGTTGGGAAGCATACAAACGATTAAATTCTGAAACAATTCGTGCGAAACTTGTTCGAACAACATTAAATGATTTAAAAATTTATTTCGGTGCATCGATGCCATTAAATTTAAAATAAAGGTTTACTATTTGAACAAGATGATACAGATGTAGAAATTATGGTGATTTTAGTTTTTGTATAGTCAGTTTTTTGTTATAAATATGAGATAATGAAAAGAAGATGATAGATTCAGTATCATATTTATTAGATAGGTGTAGTTTTTTATGTTGCTAGCTTACAATGGAGGAATCTAAATTTTACCATCGCATTGAATACTCTTAACGTAATGGTATATTATCATTTTAATATGTTTCAGATTTTTTCGACCGATGGTCATGGCCATAGTGCGAAAAATAAAAAAATTTTACATTTGTATAGAAAAACGAATTTATTTTCTATTACTTTGTATAATTCTGTGTCTGTGTGTGTGCTTGTCCGACATTGATGGTATTTTATCATTATGAATATGGTGCTAATATTGAAAAAAACAGTCTTTTAAATGTTGTGTTTTACTCTAAATAAAACGTCCAAGAAATACTAAAAAAATTTTTCAAATTGAGCATTATTAATGTGAATATTGAATATATCTAATCAAAAATATTGAACTTTTGATTATCTCACATTGTAAACCGTTTTTGAAAACTAAGAGACATTATTTTTATTTGAGTATACCAAAAAAAAGGTTAAAAAGAAAAATATTAAACGACTAATATTAAAAAACAATTAAATATTTTTCTATCTTAACTAATAAATATTTTTCTTGTTGTAAGATAGAAAAACATTAAAGTTTTTCGCATAAGATAGAAAAATATTTAGTTAATTTAAAATAAATGAAAAATATTGAACGAATTAATATTTAAATAAGGTGGAAAAAAATATTTAATCGATTTTTAATATTAATCATTTAATATTTTTCTCTTTAACACATTAGTCTATAGATCCTTTTATTTTTATATTATTTTTTAGATCACATTGTAATGTCTGAAGTAAAAGAAGAAAAATTCCATCGAGATCCCGAAGAATATGCAATTGTAAAACGTCTTAATAAACAATTTTCAAAACGTCCAAATGATATTTATGTTACACGTAAAACAAATTTTAAAGCTCAATTTGAACGTTGTATGAAATTAATTTCGATTGGTGGACATCGTGAAATATATATATACGGTATGGGTGCTGCATTACAACGAACAATTAATCTTGCATTACAATTTCAATTAAAAACAAATTGTCATTTACATACACAAACATCAAGTATCGAAGTAACTGATCATCTTTTACCGCTATTAGATGATTTAGAACCAATAAGTGAAATGCGCTATGTATCAACAATCCAAATTAAATGTGTAATGCCTAGTATATTGAATATACCATTGACATCGACAACAACAGTGAATCAGGATAATAAAGTAGTCAAATAGATTTATTTGTATAAAGATTTTAAATTGAGCTAGTAAAAAAATAAGAAAATAACATACAATTATTAATTTGTTTTATTCTGTCTGTATATACTACTAGATTACGAGAAAACTGATCATTTCACTGCAATTGTGCTAATTTTGTTTTCATTCATACAGTTATTTACATCTTAAGATTATTGAATAGCAGTTCTATTACGTTTTTATTCAATAAACAGTTGATGACTAAATTTTTATCGTCACACAATGAAGAAAAGAGGAAATGGTAATGTGTAGATAAATATCGTATAGTGATTTTTTCCTATTTATAGATTATTTTTGTTGTTATTTGGCTCGAGGCATTGTTATTATATGTCGCGGACCTTTGATGACTCTCTCACTTTTCCTGAATAAATCATTCATTCACTGTTGTCTGTAGTTTTGATTTAAGAGTTTGTAAATGGCAGATAATTAGGTTTCATCGCTTAACACTGTTGTTAACTTGTCGTTTCAATTCTTCTGTAGATGTTCAAACGCAAAATCGATTATTCCTATTGCAAAAATAGTCACTCATATGAATTTTTAGTATGTAACAGACATCCAATTTGAATGTCTACGAGTGATTGGGTGAATAGCTTGTTGAACTATAATATAAGTGAATAAGATAATAACGATGATTTATCCATTCATTTGTATCTAATAAAAATTGTAATATGAGTCACGGCGGATTGCTATGATCAGGTTTGTATAAATCGCGATGTAAGTTCAAGTAATCATGTAATAGAAAGAAAGTCAAGATATCGAATGACTATTTCAACGTTTAAATACAGAGAAATAAAAGTTAGAATGTTTCCTGTCAATGTTACATGACATTTCTGTTTGATGACTTCCTGTGAAGAATACTTACACACACTCAAATAGTAGAACTAAAGAATAAAAATATCATCAGTCCGATATATAATAATTATGTTTCCTTTTTTCTGCGACATAACAATATCTATAACAATAAAGAATTTAAAAACAATTTGAATTTATTTGACTGTTGCTTGGATGTTTTCATGTCCATAATTTCCAGTTGATAAGGGATTATGCTGAAAAGAATCAAGACATATTGTTGATGTAATACAACCACAATCTCTTGCTTTCACTAGCCAGTTTGACATATAAACAACCGAAACGAAGATTTATTTCCATAAATTATCAGTTCTTTATCTTTGTATGAGTGGCACAAAGTCTACTTTATTTGTTGCCGTTTCATATTCGTATATTTTAGATAATTATACTTGACATTTCTTGTAATAACTGTGCAATAATTTTGATTTTTTAATCACTCAACATGACGAAAGAAAATACGTTTTCTTGGAAAAGGCTTGTCTCTCTGTACGTATACATCACATTGTTCAGTTCTTGAGAGAACACTATAAAATTTATATTCTGTATTCTAGTTTTAATACTCGGAATGATATCATTCCGTATCGTCTTTATTCAAATCGTGACTTTAGTTTACTGCCAAATGAACCAATTTCGCAGTTGTTATCAACAACATTTGCTACATATACGGGACCTGATGTGGGTTTTATTGATATTGCTCCACATCAAAGTAAGTCAACATGTTAAAAATAAGTTTGATATGTCTAATAATTAATCTTTTTTGAGAACGTGGCATATTAAAAGTAGATAATACGAAGAAAATTGCTGGCCACAATAATTGGCAATTACCTATTCCCCGTGCTTACGGTGTCTCAACATCATTATACGATCAAAATCCAATCACAAAAGAATTGAACGGTAAGTGTATAGAATAAAATTTTGTTTGTTTAGCCGAAAAATTGTATATATCTGATTTTAGGAGAGCCTATAGCTGATTGTTTTGCAATATGTGCACGAGAAAACAATTGTATCTTGTGTATAGCAGATGGTGTTAATTGGGGTTATAAACCTCGATTAGCCGCGCGATGTGCTGTCAATGGAGCAATGACGTATTTAAATCAAAAATTGTACACAGAACAAATTCAAACAACAGAAGTAAATAACAATAGCTAATATTTTTAAACATTCAATTTAAGCTTGCTTTTATTGTTTTAGGATATATTTACTCTAATGAAAAAAGCCATTGATTCCGCTCAGAGATTAATTATAGATCGTGAAGGTTCATTGACAACATTGTGTATATCTGTTGTATGTCAAACGCGTCACAATTCCAATCGATTCTTTGTTTGCACCGTTAGTGTGGGTGATTCAAATTCGTATGTATATAGTAAAAAACATGGTGTTTTAGAACTGACCGAAGGTAGTTGACATTTATTGATTATGTTTCATAATAATTGATTGTTGTTATCTTTAGGTACACATGATATTAACAATGAACGAGATATGCGTCACACTGGTGGTGCATTAGGTTTTGCTCTTGATGATAAAGCTGATTTATCAAATTTAGCATATTCATTAATGGAAATTCAACAAGGTGATTTTGTATATTTAACAACAGATGGCATTTCAGATAATTACGATCCGGTAGTAAGTGGAGTGGCAAGAAGTGCAAAAACACCATTATTACAGCGAAAGTCATTCACAGAAATTGAGACGATTGAAAATAATGCGCAACTGATGAATGCATATGAAAGACATTTATGTCATTTGCATCATATGACACAAGCTCTTGAACGATATAAAACTGTAGAAGATAAATTGAGTGCACAAGAATTATGCGCTAAATTACTACAACACACTGTCAATTTAACTCATGAGCAACGAACAATAATTGAAAATAGTATAAGAGAACGTGAAAATGAACCTGAAGGGGGAAAACGCGATCGATTCACGTTCGAAGAAGAAGTAAAACAAAAAGTAATGAAATTACCGGGGAAACTTGATCATTCGACTATTGTAGCTTTTGAAGTAGGAATTTTTTCACATAGATAAACAACTCATTCATATTCTTTTCGAATAGAGACTCAATAAGAATTAGTCAGTCTTATCCGTCCCGTGTTCACTAAAGAAACAACTTATTAACTCTGTTTTTTACATAATCGTTGTTCTAATTCATTTTTGTTTCATCGATTTTTCTACATTGTAGATACTGTTTTGATTGTATATTTTATGTATTGAATTTTTCTTTTAGTTTTTGACTGCTTTGATATTTTTCCAATACTTGTATGTTCTTAAGTTTTATATAAGTATGAATGAATAGTTTCACATTGCCTTTATTTTAGCGTTCATTAGGCATTCTCATCATCGCATCTGTTTGTGGTCTGGAAATGAGATATATTTCCTATGAGTCTAATGCGGGGACCGACATTATTTCGATCATTCCTAAAAGAAATAAATTTATAATTCAGAATACTTTCTTTTTTAGATTAGATAAGTTAACCGAAATGAAGTTTATTTGAACATGGATATAACAACAACGTTAGAAACAAAAAAGGAGTCATTGGGTATTTCGGCTGCTCTTGTTCTCAGTCTTATTGGACTTACGGTATCTTTAGATATTTTTACCACCATTCAATCTACGACACTAAGTGTCTGTTTTGTTTTTAGCTTGTTATCGTGATTATTATACTCATTAAACGTCAAATCGCTCGAAATAAATCAAGATCAAAAAGAGAGCCACACTTCTGGCATTGTAAATTTTTTGAAAAGGTAAATAACTTAATTTTTTCTGATGTAATTCTGATAAAGTATATTCATCATGTCTTCTTGTTTGCTTATTGCTTATGTATGATATATATAAATAAAAAAGTGTACTATTATTTGTACTCGAGTACAACAAATACTTGAAAAATAACTTGAAATACTTGATTTTGTTTTAGTATACGCTACCCAGACTACCCGTAAATACTGTAGGAAAATCGAATCCACAATGGTTACTGGTAGCACATCATGATCTACCTGAAATGTATTACAAGAAAAATGGTAAAAACATCTGCTCATCGAAATTTTGATAATTATTCTACCTTTTATAAATAGAATGTCCACAGTATATCGCACGATTTTTTACTGTTGATCTTTTTACATTGTTTGGTGAGTCTAATCTTAATCAAATTTATGAAAATGTTTTCTTATGTTTTTCCGTTATAGAATACACATGTAAGGACGCATTTCCTGATATGGAAACTACTACACTAAGTGAAACATATTTATATGAGAATTATCCATCATTAATCGAACTTATTCATGCATTTAAAAAACTAAAAATTCGTGCTGAAATTGATCTGGTGGTATGTTAATTAAATATTTGAATTTTTCTTTTAAGAATTAAAATTAATAATAGCATGCCTCTATGGCAATATTTGCCTAAAAAAAAACAGAATCTACAGTTCTTAGAAGAAAGAATACTTCACCTTGCGGCTAGCGTTATCGGTGGTAGAGTCTACACCGGTAATAGTACCTTTAGATGTACTGTGCTCGAACGTTGGAAGGACGTGACGAATAGTATAACCCCTAGGAAATCCATACCGTCCAGAAGAAATAACGCATTAGTAATTTCTTTTAGCCTTTTACAATAGAAGACGCCAAGCATGCCATTGACGTATACAACCAGATATTAGAAAAGTAAATCCATTAGTCTTATATTAAAAACAATATTTTTTTAATTTCTCTTTATCTCTTTGCCTTTTTGTAGACTATCAACTCTCAGCAATAATCCTTATATACGACAACGACTAATAGACAAATCAGCACTAGGCACTAGCGCTGTTGGAGATTTTAACCATAATTCTAGTCGATTTATACTACTTCCAAAAGATTTACATAAACCATTTAGGGGAAGTGACGATGATTCCATAACAAACATGGAGAAAAAGCTATCACGTCCAAAAAATAGATTCTCTCTACATTTACCAACATTTCGAAAACGTCCAGCTACGACGGACCGGCAACAAACTATAGCTAGATTTACAGGAGGTAAACAAATGCTCATACATTTTCAATATTAAGGTAAACTTATGTGTGTGTTTTTTTTCAGGTACACAAGCAGTACACGTCACCACAACACTATCCACAGATACCGAAGGATCAGAGGGCGGGAGAATGTCTAGCAAATTGAATCCAATAACTGCATTCGAAAATCCAATTATTAAGCAAGGTCGTCCCCTGTTTAAGAGACAAGGAGCTACCGATGTTGTACCATTAGTTGAATTTAATGATACATTAAGTCGAAGTACTACATTTAGCTCAGATTTAGAACCACATTAAAAGTCTGTTAGTTTTTTCACATTCAATGTTCTACCGTAATTTTACAGTAATTAAAAATGCTTGATAGTTTTGTAACCTCGTGTAAATACGTATAATAAAATATTATTTGAAAATATAATTCTCTTTCTCTTCATATGACATTGTCTAAGCAACCTAACTTTTTGTCATCACCTTGTCATTATTCAATATCACAGACTCAATAAAATATGTATGTATTTGATTGTATCTGTTTCATATTGAATAACTTGAGTACAGTTGCCAATAACAAGATGATCAAATTCAAATTTTTTTATTTATGAAAAAGTTCTTTATTAATATATACAGAATTTTACTTTTTTTTCAAATATACACAGAATTATTTTTCATGCGAAGCAAATAACATTCGAAAAAATCTTTTATTTCTTTTTATTACTTTTATCTAAATCAATAATCTGTATATTAAATGAAGCACCAAGATTGCAGCTCATTTTTTTAAAAAGTGAAACTTTGAGAACGTTAAATAATAGAAGCATTTTACTTTATATGCATAAAAAAAAGCGTTTTAATCGCTTCTGACCGGCAGAATATTTGTCAACATATCACAGTGTAGTGGAGATTTTTTAAGTATTCAGCGAAATTCAAGTTGTGCTTCTTTATCGTTAATTTGAGGTATGGTAAGTCCATTTTCTAAGAAAAATTTTCGTTTTAAATATGCATATAATAAATCGGATATGAGAAATGTCTAGAAAATAAAAAATAGAAAAATAAGCACCTAATGATAATATAAATTGTTTTAAAGTACCTGTGCAACATTGAATACCATTGTCATAGCAAAATAAAAATTTGCATTTGCACTTCCAGTATAAATCCATAAATACCAACATATTGGAGCCATTAAGAAAGCAACGAGCATCATACAAACAACCACTAGACTATGTCGAATATCTAGTTCATAAGAAAGAAAATGAATTATACTGATATTTGTTTTAACAGTAACTACTACGCGATGGAGGTATATAAAAGATATCAACTAATAGTTTCTAAGAAAAACTGATCGATCATACTGCAATTCATTGACACTTCTCTTTTTCTTTACATTCTAACTTTCCGGACCGTTAAAACCCTTAACTGTATACAACTGCAACTTCTCAAACATTTAGGAAAAACAAACTATAACATGTACTCACATCGAAACAAAAAACTCCATACAGGTAAAAAGTTAATATAAAATGCACTATCACCAAAAGCAGGATACGATTTGAATGTGCAAAAGAGAGCACATAATAACCAAAATAAAAATATTTTATCGTTTCTAGAAGTGAAATAAAAATTATATTTATAAAAAACAAATTGTTGAATTTTGTCTAAAATACCTGAGACGTATGGCAAACGGCAATAAATAAATAAGTAAAACATGTATTTGAAATGTCCATACAAATAGCGAACGGAAATGATCGAACATTTCGGTAAAGAAATACCAAAATACACCAATATTAGGTGTATAATCTGGAACATGAAAACTAGAGAAAAGAGAAATAATCTAGTCATCTGTTTTTTCTTGAAGAAAGAACAATTATATTACATAAAACTATATGTTGCTTCAACAAATGACCAGGATTGATGATTGATATAAAAATTGCATAATAAAACGCCGAAACCAAATAACAAAAACATCAGTAAAACTTGACACATTCGAAATAAAGATAATCTTTTGACTTCAAGTTCATTTTGAAACTAAAATCCACATTGAACAGTTTACTCCATTTTAGCGTGTAGATTATATTCAGGATCAAACAATAAATGTGATTTAATCCTTATACTCTCATGTGTGCGGTGTTCACCTGGGGCTCTTACGATCCCCAAATAGAAATATGAGGATTTGCTTACTGTTGTGGTTTGAGAAAAGTGCAACATAGCTGGCACAATAAGAACAATCGGATAAAGTGATATTGAACTAGCCAAAGTTAAAGTCATTATAAACGGAATCAATTGATCTTAAAGCAAAATCAAATAAAAGATGCAACAAAAACTACAATAACCTCTATTATAAGTTTACGTACAAGTCATAAAGAAATAAAAGGACATTGTAAGAAGAAGATTATGATAGACCAAACTAGATTGTGCCACACACGTACCAATCGATAGTGGATTTATCATTGACCTTAAAATAGTGTCGGTGATTTGAAATGTACAGAAAATATTCGACATACTACCTACATGAGTAATACAGCTTTCGCACATCCTTGAATATTATCTTTCGTCAACCATAATGGTTCGCTACTATTTTCATAAGTCGATATCATCTTTTGTTGATGCTCAAACTACAAAGATCAACAGTATGGTTTTTGATTAGTTTTGTATTTTTTTTGTTGTTTTACTCCTCCTCAACTCACCAGTTGTGTTAAAATTATTTTTGCAAGTTTATAGGAAAATATTGCACAGATTAAATCAGCAACCTTAAAATTCAAGAAGATAATGGATAAGTAAAAGAGTATTTATAAAAACTTACAATGAAAACAAATTCCATATGTCCGTTTGTTATGAAATCCAATTTTGAATAGATAAATAGTGACAAAGGTGTCTAAAAAAAAACCTTTTTAAAAAGATGCTAAGTAATACTGAACACAGTTAGCAAACATAAAGTTTACTTGACTTAAATCTTATTTCCTAGTTCTACGCAAAGGTAAGGCACATTTTGTAAGCAGGAATAAAGCATCTGAGAAGTTATGACATACCTCATGTACAATTGAACCAACAAATGGTGATACATTCAAGTTTCGAAGATAAATTCCTTCTGTCACTAGAAAAATAAAACAGTTCGTTGTCTGATACACTATAGTGTAAAATTTATGCATTTTGAACATACCTCTTTTCCATGAATTTAACGGTGTTACATATTCAACACTATTTTCGAAATATTGACGAGAACGTGAGTGAAAAAATAAAAACAATCTCACGATAAGTCCAATGCTAAGAAATTGAAATTCATTTTTATCAAACATATTCGCAGCAAACAGTCTAGAAAAATAATAATTTTTTATACACATTTTTTTTTGTAATTGTCTTCTAACTCATAACTTAATTCTGCTCATTAACAAAAAGCTTTCCAAAATGGTTATACGAGATCTCGGTGCAGTTTTTGAACCCAATAGCTATAGAAATACAGGCAGCTCTTTTTTATCCGAATGTATCGTCATTCTGTTTGTCTTTGTAGCTTCTTGATATAAAGTAATTAATAAGATTGAACAATATTGATTGGACTAATCTGACCTAATTAACAGTGCGTGAACGAAAAACTGTGACTGTCGTTAGAAGTGAAAGCGTTGTCGCCAGCTTCCTCAATAAAAGATGACAATTGCTTTAATGAGAACTGAAACCTAAATTCTCTAAAAGAGCTCAACATGAATTATGCAACGCATTCCATAAGAACGTTCAATTATTTAGTAACCAGAAGTATTTATAGAAGACTGATAGAATCTTGTTAAGTTCTATTTATTACGGTTTGGACGGGTAAGCCTCCCTCAATAATCGAAAAGAATTTTTTTTCACCAGCTCAATGAAAAAAAAAATTTGCAAAAAGCTCCCGCAGCGAAGTTTTGATTCAACTCCCCCCCAAAAAAATTTTTTTTTAAAACAGTTTAATTTTTATAGAAAATCGTTAAAAATATTTTGACCCCTTCCCAATTCTGAATACTTCTCGCCAGCTCTGGTTGTGTAAACTTAACAAGTAGCGTTAGAACTCATTTTAGTCTTCTATTAGAACTTCAGAATTATTGTGAATTCACTGGATGAATGAATACTTTCGGTAAGATGTGTGCCTGAAATAAAATGAAGTACATAGAGTATACTAAAAATAAAAATATTTTTTGCGTCTAGTTCTCATTTCTTCTCCAATTATAATCAAGACTATTTTCTAAACAAAATTTTTTCAATGAATTTTGTGCAAAAATAGTTTGTTCTGTCTTTTTAAAATGGCACTATAAACAGTTTTTAAAAAAAATCCACAATATAAAAAAACGGCAAACACTTGTACAATTTAATGGACTATAAACAACTTTAAAAATAAACAGATGATAATAAAAACATATTTTAAGAAATAGAAAAACAAAAAGGCATTAGCCTACATAAATTCGATATATTAGATTGAATCCGACATTAATTACTGAGATATACAAATAAAGAGATTAGCATAGGAGATTTTTAAATAAAATTTTATACGATCTTTAAAAATGATGAGAATTTGTTTATCATCTTACACAACAATCGCACTCAAGATGAAAGTACACTATTGTTGTTTGATGAATGACTAGAAATTAGCGCTAAAAATGACTGAAAATTTTAACAATAGAACTTATTGATGAAAATTTTAGTCAAGAATAGTCAAGATGACAAGAAAGTATGCTAGTCTATATCAGTTGAAAGACATGAGAAAAAATAAACCGGCACTCTTTTTTTTTTATCTGTTATCTTTAACAAGTATCGGTTCACAATCAATATCATAATCTTTTTCTTCATTGGGACTTATCTGTGTCGATGATAATGTTGTATCAGCATCTAATATTGTCATGGGTGTATCAGCTATAGCTGTCATTTGATCATCATAGATAATTTTATCATTTGTAGTTGTCATGGATTGTCGTCTATTATTTTTTATTTCTGATTTTCTACTTTTTACTAAATCATGTCTTGTTGAATTTTTTCGATTTTTAATTCCATCGTCTTTATCCATCATATCTTCTAATGTTGAATAATCTGTTATATTTTTTATTGGAGCAATTGAAATATCTCTTACTGCTCGAAATTGTCCACAATTATTTAAATGTTCATTCTCTAAACGAAAATAATTCCATATAAAACGTCGAAATACTTCAATGAGACCAAATATAAAACCGACAACATCAGCATATTCAGCTGATCGTGATTTAAAATGAAGAAATATATTAATTATCCATAAATATCGAAATATAATATCTTCAAGTATGGCAATATAATAATAAATTTTAGATGGATAAACATATTGATCTCTTAATAATTTATTTTCACCCGCATTTTTATCAAAAAATCCCCAATCCATTTTTAAATCCCAAACAAGTTTATATGTTGAACCAATAAATGATGTTACTATCCATAAATAAAGAAATGGATTTCTTATTGGTTCTTCTGTATAGTCTAAAATGGTTGCACGGCGTAATGAATTAGCACCCGCTACCAAAAAACCACTGGCATATTTACCAGCATTTAATAAATGTGGAAATTTTTGTTTTGTATCCCCATAACGTCTTAAACATTGTGAAAAACGAAACCAACTTGGTAATATTATTAAAATTGTTTGAAATAAAATTTGTGTCCATCCACTACAAAATATACCACGAATAATTGTTGGAGTACCAGACATTGGCCACCAACTTACATCATATATATAAAAACAAATAAAATATTCCATATCGAAAAATATTAATTCTAATGATGTTAATTGATCACCAAGCCAAAAATCAGCAAAACCAACTTTAAATAATGGTGCCATAATTACACGACCTAATGTACGTAAAAACCAAAAACGTGCTTGATGATATAATGTTGGTGTTGGATTTAATAGAAATAAAATGATCAATGTTAAAAAGCCAAGTGGTTGGGCAAATGGATGAAAATCATAATAAGATGTTAATATAAATGCTGTAAAACTTAAAAACCATAATACAAATAAAAATGTGCCTACTTCTAAAAATTGTTGATAAGTTAAATGATTACGAGGATCTATTTCAAATATGAGTACATGATTAACACCTGATGCTGACCAACCATAGACATTAATACCAACTAGAACAATATGTAAAACAATTAGGAATGTTGAACGATATAATAATAATGCTTGACGCCATGCTAATGGTTTTGTTGATTGACTATCACGAAATGTTGCACCCAAAGTAATTACTGTTGGTACTAATAAACATAGCATACCTAAAATCAACAAATAGAATATAATTAATTTCTAATATAAAATAAGATTTTTTTTTGTATAATTAATGTATCATACCGATATATAATCCGACTCGAAATGTTACAGCTGGTGATTGTTTTTCTTCTAATGGTGGTACTCTTAGACGTTTCATTGCTTTTGCTCGATTTCCTTGTTCTAATCCATCGGTGTACATTGTTTCAACTTCATTAATTAATTGATCAACACGTTTTGTCGTATAAAATGGTGCTTGATCAATATGTAATCGTCTGAAATGAAATTATTAATAAATATTAATAATTAATTTAAAAATATGATAAAAGTCTATTATTACCTCCAGTCGTCTCCACGTGTTGTTTGAAATAATTTATCATGTTTTTTCAATATTTTACGAAAACCGGTAAAATTTAATGTTTGATAATTTTGTAATAAAACAAGCATTAAATAAAATTCACTAAAAGCTAATTTTAAATCATGAATTTTACGAAATTGTGTTCGTTCTTGACGTTTTTCTCTTGTACGTTCGATAAGTCGTTCTGGTAGAACACGTGCTAATGGAACCATTAGACCATCATGATGATTTTTTTGTATTGTCATTCCAACTGTACTCAAATCACCTTCTTCATCAACAGTCATACTATTTCTTTGATTATGTCGACGATGATGTTCATGTTTAGTCATGAATTGTAATTCCGTTTTTAACGTTTCTAATCGTCTTAATGCTCTTAAAATTATAAGAAAAAAAATTTAGAAAAAAAAAATGATCCATTTTATCCATCAAATATTTACGTACTCTGCTAATTTTTCAGAAAAAAATGTGTTAATTTTTGTTGCTTCTTTCTCACAAGTTTGAAAAAAATGTTCATCAATTCTTAGAAAATAATTTTCACGTAAAACAATATCCTGATCATCGACAAACGGTTGAGCTTTTTCAACAGCAGCATTTAGAAGATCTTTCATTTCATCATAACGAATATATTGAGAATGCCATTCAGGCGTTACATGAGCAGCCAAATGTTCGGCGAACTTCATTTTGAATTAATTAACAAAAAAACCTTGAAAAGAAACATGTCAAAGACAAATTACTTATGAGCCAAAATGTAAGATTTGAAGCATTAGATATCTGCAATAATCTTAATTGATTGGATACAAACAATCAAGTATATGATGGTTTGATGATATTCGAGTTAACATTACACTTCTTCTTCCTTTCAAAATGAACAATATTTCTAGCAAAGGTCATGCTCGTTTTCCGTATAAAACTTTCACATATTCATCAGTCAGAGGCGTCTTTCTATATTAGTATGTAGAAGAACCATCGTTGATTCTCTTTATAATATCAATTAGTCTAATAGCACGATTTTCAGTATCTAAAAATTGACTTCTCTCATTAGAATGTCATGAGGTACATATAGGTAAACATACTCACGCCATATGCGTAATGAAACACTTTCTAAGTAAATGGTTTTCAGATATGAATAGTCTAATGCCAAGGTTATAAATATTTGATCACTAATATTGGAAAATATTTTTATTAATTAAGATTAGACTCATTAACATATCGCTTTATACTTATTAGAATCTTTTTAGTATCATAATCGCTTGTCTTCATTCTATTATACACTATATAAAAAGCTTTTTTGATGACAGAATATATCAGGGTAGAAGTTTCATACGAAAAATTAGTATGTCCTTTTTTTAAATCACAGAGATATTTTTTGATCACTTATTCTTAACATCTGATAAAAATGAAATATTTTGACTTACTTTGTAAAAATTTAGTTGGCTTCGTCTACTGTTTGATTGAATAACCCAGAAATAATAAATAATAAGTAAAATAGAACAAAAAATATATAGAACACTGTGATGAATACGTATTGTTTCTCTTATATATATGTATATAAGAATGAGATTATATATGCAGACTAAAAACCTTCTCGTTTTCTTGAAACTTTGATCACCATAACAAAAACGAAGATAAATTGCCTATTATTGAGAAGAGTAAAATAAATAATAAGATACAAGACTAGAAGACGTTTAAATCCATAAAAACTTTAGAATAAAATGTATTTACATTAATCATAACATATTTTAAAATAGCAGGTGGAAAATTGTTTAAATAACAATAAAAATTAATAATCTTGAAATCACTGTTTGAAATAGCACTAAAATAGACAAAATGTCAAAAGTTATCACATTGATACATTGGCGTATGTTCTAATAGCGCTTTTGAACAAATTTTTTTATCAGTGATAGTTTTCTTATTAAAGATATTCAAAATATGAAACAGATTTGTGTCCCTTTTAGAAAAAGTAAAACACCAGTTGAGTCTCTATAATTGAATGAGGTCATCCATTTGACATTAAACTAGGATTATGACTTTAATTCGAAATGATGAGAAGGACAAAAGAAAGAATCACTATACTGACTTTTATTACGTGTCAAAATCATTTGCTTCCAAGTGTATTACAGACAGACAAAAAAATGAGATGAGAAGACTTATAAATGATAAAATCCCTCGATTTTTAATTTTCATTCGAAAAGAAAACGTAAGTATTTATTAAACGTTATAAAAGAAAACCGAAATAAAACATGTATGAATGTGACTGCACAAAATTATTATAATAACTGATACTTTTTAGATTGCTATTTTATTTATCAAAAATATTTCTTTCTTCATATTTTTCGCTTCATTTGTATACTTTTTTTTTTGAGATGCAAAAACGATGAATGATGGTATATAATATCTTTCATACAAGAAACTAGAACAGCTCTAAAATACTACCTTTCGTTAAAATTACCTATGTAACATAGAGATTGTTTTTATTTTACCAATATTACAAATGCGATTTCAATTTCTTACCTCAGTGGAGAATATTGTGACTGATTATCTTACCTATTTACTTGTCTACAAAAAAAGAAAAGGTCATAAAACATATGATATTAAAGACATGTTGAGAAAATTTGCAAAAAAAACTAAATACACTTTTGACTAAACAGGACAGAAAAACTAATTACAATATTTTTTTCTTTTTCTGAGGAGTGCATACTTCACTTCACTTAAATAAATTTTTCATCCATGCGAAGTAATCATTAACTGAGTCTATTATCAATCAATAGTATAGAATAGGAAACTTTGTCAAAGTTGGAAAATGAGTAAAATCTATAACGAAAATCTTTCTTCAAGTAAATCCCTGTCCACATTAGGTCCACATTAGAAGTCCAGTGGGCTTCTATTATGTCCCGCAAGAAAGGCAAAATTTTCTCAAAAAGTGCCCTACGGGGGCAGGGGCAATTTTCAAAAAATTTCTTGCCAGACTGGGCTTCTAATGCGGGTGGGCTTCTAATGTGAAGGGGGGGTTTAGTTCAGGTTGATAGCTTGCATGGTTTGATGGTTATGTTGTTTGTCATGTACTTCAAAGATACTATTCCGAACCTCGGCACTAGCAAAGTTATGTAATAACCTTGGGCAAGTTACTTATGACTTAGTGCCTCGGATCACCGGTCTGACAGCATACTCACTACGTTGTGACGTACAATAGAGTTTCTCCGGTTAGTCCTCGTGGCTTTCCGGAAAGCTAGTACGTGGTTAGTGAATTATGTATGAAGAGTTCAAGTAATTGGGTGAAAGAACTCTGCGTCAGGCTAGCGTTTTGGCCAGAGCTGCAACTGATAACTGCACTGTAATTTGGAATTAATTTCTGATTTATAAAAAATCGGTCTCGAAGATCATCGACGATTTTCTGGCTTTCTATAAATTTCTGATTTTCGATTTTTTATAAATTGACTTTCCATTTTATTCAGAAAATCGCCGTAGAATTTCCAAAAATATGAAAATTCAGCGTCGATTTTCTATAAATAATTCCCAAGATTTTTAGATGTAGGGGAATTTATATATGGACTTTTTGAAAATCGCCGAGCATTTTCTATAAATAATTCCCGACATTACAGTGTAGTAATGAGATGGGTAACCATTTCAGAAGTTTGTCAGCTGCAGGGAAGATATCGGATTATTGAAACTGTCACAGCAGCACCCTACACCAGTAACGGTAGCTGCAAGGTGGGGTATTCTTCTTCTTCTTCAGGTTGATGTCTTCAAGAACCATGCTTGATTCTTTAATGAACTAAATTCTAATTTTTGGTGAACTACGTCCAGATCTTGAATGAATAAAATTCTTCTATAAAGAAAACTGAATAGCATTTCTTGGAAAAAAATTATCTTTATTTCGAGACTATTCCAGGTTCGAGCCTTAAGTGAGAAAAGCATTTTAAAATACTTTCTTTCTAAATGTTAATAACAGGTTTTTTTTAAATAAAATAACAAGTAAAGAAAGAAGGATCATTAACTTTTCACACGTAGAAACTTTCAAAACTTTTATCTATTGTTGGTGAAAAACTTTTCAGAATTAGCGTTGGATTCTAAACCTGCATTCTACGAATCGTAAGAGATACGCACACAAGAAACCTTTTCCGCCTCGGTCTTTCAAAATATTATTGAAAGACAGTTATCAAGCACAGACTCTATCCTCTAGCAGAAAAAAAATCGTGTAGACAATATTTAAAGACTTAAGCTAGATATTTGACCGATTCCAGCCAGGTTAAGCTAGATTAACTGGATCAGATAGATAACTTAAGCTACACGATTTGTTTTGCTAGGGATATGTTACGAACTAAAAACTGAAAACATTTTTGATAAATGTTTTTAAATTTATATACTGTTTGTAAGTATGTTCTTGCCCTACTTTTTTTCTAAATACATCGATATGTGGATTATTAAACGCTCGTTTTATTGTTATGAAGTATGTATAAAATAATTCAACGTGTCTTTAGTCCTACTCAGTTCATAATGATTACAGTTCAAATCAATCATTAAACATTTATTTAACATATCATAAATTGCTTTTTACTTTCTTTGTTACAACAAAAACAAAATACATTTACTTAACGATCTAATCGAGTTAAATTATAATCAACCAGTTGAACATGTTGTTTTTACTTCAACCTAAGTCAAAACAAATCGTCTATTTGATTTAATATCTACAAAACTTCATGCTAATTATCTTATTTTGTCGTTTCTACATTCTACTAAATATTCTTACGCTTGTACAAGATTTTCTCGTGCATTTTTTATACACACCAACAGAACGATAGAATGAGTGCATAAATATATACTTAGAAAGAAAATCACCTGATCAAATTCTTTCTTAAAGAACAACATACAGTAAAAATGTCAAAATATTTTCTTTTTCTTCTTTGTGTTCTCTTTCTATGTGAAACGAATCGATCATACAAATAAACATTTTTCAATATATATTTTTTTAACGTATAGTTTATTATAAACAGACTTGTTCAGTTCTATACACTTTTCTTAGAGAAATATTTATTCTAATGAAAGCAGACCGTTACAAATCTCTCAATGTTTCGTACTATAGCACTCTTTAAGGGGAGAACCCTCCTCAGAAAGTTGATTTTTTGATCGAAAATTAGCATCGAGTTTTCTCTATAGTTGAATTGTCTCGTTCAAAGTATGTATGGTTTTTGCTGAAAAAATTAGCTTTCTACGAGGTTTTGAATGTTTTTCTGGAAACCTTTCATAGTTTTCCAGACGAAGTTCGTACGTCGTTACGCTTTCCACAAAACAAGAATTTTTAGATTCAAATGTACAGATGTAAGCCATCATCCATCATAAGAATTATGTACCCTACAAATACTTCGATTTCATCTTTTCATCATGTTGAGCTAGTTTTATCATAACGTATTCATATGACAGTCTACAATTCTTGCAACTTTGACCGAAATTATTTCCTGGGTATCTCTTTGATGATCAGTATAAAACTATTAATAATAATCCATTCAAATGAAAGAAGAATTTTTACTCGAATTCATTTATAACAGATGCAGACATGAAAGTGACACGCACAAACAGAGATGTGCGCCGCCGCGCCTAATCGCGTCAGTCACTTTTTACACGGCGCCGCCGCTGATGGTGGAGGAAAATTGTTGTGACTTCCGCCGTCATGCCGTTAAACTTTCGTCGTCGCCGAGGGCGGAAAAAACTTTTTTAAGTTGACGCTGTAGTCCCTGAAATGTTTTGAATTGATTCATTTGAACTAGTCTGATACCAGTCGGTAGCGGCATTCACGCATGTATTCTTTCATGTGTCATTCTCCGTTTATGTATCATTTTTTTAGTCATTTACTTGTCAGTTCGTTTATTCAGTGCCAGTTTTAGTCAATTTTGAAGTTTCGCCGCCGATAACCAATTTTTACACGCTGCCGCCGCCGCCGTCTATGTTCAAAAATTCATTCGCCGCCGCCGAAACTTTTTTATCGGCGCACATGTCTGCACACAAACACCTAATTTATCTTATTACCACTCAAATGTAGCAGTCTAAGTTATGAACGTCTAATGAAACTAATGCATATCTCTCAAATGTGTACAGATAATATTCCATTTCTAACTGAAATGGTTCGTACACATCAGTCACTTGATTATTATCATGCTAGTCTTTACCATTTAACCAACAAAAATGTTATCAGCATTTTTAAGCGAAAACAAAATGTAATTACCTTGCTTTACATGACAAATAAATAATTAAAAATAATATGAATAGAATGAATTTTGAACAAAAATAAGAGAACAAGATTAAAATAAAAGCAATTAAATTTGAATGTGTTTCCTCATATTTTATTTACATATAGAAATAAAGAGAAAAATGTGGAAGTTGATAATTTATCTAAAATGAAAAAAAAGTTATAGATTTGTGTGTGTATGTTAGACAGAATATTCTAAAAAAAGAGTGTATTTGATCCCGCTTAAACATCAGAGATCATTAAAGAAAGTCGCATAGTTAAACATACTTCATTTACTATAAAACAAATACAAGTACGGTGAAAAAACTTGTATACAAGAAGGAAACATATGAACTACGTATTTTTATGGCAACTATTCCAATAATTAGCTGTAAAACATCATCAAATTCATCAATGTTAATGACGTTACATGTGATATACTTATAATACTTCAATGTAAAATGAGATCATCATCATCCGTACGATTGAAATTCAATATAGAGTATTTTAAATTTGATTGTATAATTACTGACCGTATTTATGTTTAACTGATCGGAACATGTCGATCATATTGGGAAATGAAGCAATTTTAATGTATACAATATCAACGCTAACACTCTCTTGTCAACAGGTATCATTGAACAAACATCTTTAATATTTCCGGTACAAAATTTATCCATAATTTTCGATATATAAATAGTTTCAATTTATTTCAATAGACTTGATAATTCATAAAAAATAGAACAACACTCAAATGTGTATATAATTCAAATTATTGAGAGTAAACAGAAACAGTTTGATCAAAACTTTCGATATTATCGAGTTTTAATACAAACACAATTTGAGACTTTGTGATATCGATTAAATTAACATGAATACAAATGAATTTATAACATGCAAACAGACATGCATATCTCCTACAAATATTATATATGTAAAAGAAGAGCAATAGAACAGAAATATAAGTATAATATAACTATCTTTCCTATAATTTTGAAATTTTATCTTTCCTTCCACTAATCATCGTGTATCCATCTGGACCCCAATTGTTAGATCATATAGCAATCTTCTATCATCAATACTTCATACCGTAAACAAAAAAGGATCAATGACAAAGTTTTCAATACCGTAGAGAAACGATTGATTTAACTTCAAATGTATTATCTGCACTTTTGTTACACAATAATCTACTATTTGATGACCATATTATTTGATAAATAGCTTGTGCATGTTTAAGTATACATCCTGACATATGTTTCCATTCGACTAGATCATACTTTAATCAATTTATCAAAACTGATCGACGTGATTAGACGTGTATTGGATGAAAATATCACACTATTAATCGTTTGTTAACGACTGGTCAAACGTGCGATTGATTTGTGATTTCTTTTATGTACAATGTAAAATCATCTAGATCCAATACTCAACGTTCATTATCATTCTCTAGTGGACGTAGCAAATTTTCCGATCGTTTCAAAGTTAATTTTTATCACTCCTGTTCATCTAGCACCGTGTTTTTTTGTATTACTATTGTTCTCCTTTTCTTTCGATGATTTATAGAAGTCCACTCATAGCACATAATTAGTTAACAAGACAAGCATCTTGTTAACCAACGTCAATGTTCATCTAATGTACGACAAAATTCACCTTATATTGTACGCCATACAATAATTGGACGATCATGTGAAGATGAATATAATAGATTTTGATCATTCCACTTGATAAACGTATCATTAGAAGTATGAACAGATAGAATATGAACAACTTTATACACATGAATATTTCCTATTTCAATATTAATAATAGAAGACATATGACATGAACCATTCAAACCTATCAGTTGTTAAAATAATAAATTTATCAATCGGCGAGGACTGGATAACAATTTTGCATCTACATGATATGGTCACCATACCGCGCAAAAACAAACCTTAGAGAATAACAAGGATCAACCGTCTATCATCGAATGTTACTCTATCGCAATTATTAATAATGTTCATTGTTCTTCTCGTCTTATTTTTTTGTAATTTATTGAAAAATATTGTAATTTTATCGTTGAATGAATCTTCTTTATGATTTTTTATTTATATATATATAAAACGAAGAAAAATTCCACTCCCGTTCTCTTGTACAAACATTAACTAAAACTTAGTAATCAAAGAATAAAGACAACAAGACTATCCTTCTACAGATGAACTAGAAAATGATGTTCCTCACGCTTCTACTCCAAGTTCTCTAACTTTTATAGCATCAGTCTCATAAAGGTGATTGTCCTCCAGCGCGTTATCCAAAACGCACACTATCTTTCCAACAAAAAAGAGACGTATGATTTCATATAATTTATTAACAAAAGCAAAATGAAAATAAACACTAAAAGGAAGACATGTGCTTGTAAAATAAAAAAGCGAGCATAGCATTTATCGAGTTTGCGCAAAATACACAAATTCAACGACTATTTCCTCATCTTTTAATCGTTGCGATTGATGAGTATTTGTCTATTTTAAGAAGCGTGACGACAGGTGGACCACAGTAACACCTAAAGACAAGAAAAGTAACTTATGCAATAGATCAGATGCAAAGCGGAGGATACCGCGAACAATGTGAGATTGCATCTGAAACAAAAATATATAAGACATAAATTAAAATTGATCCAGAAATATTTGACTACTTTTACAATTACATACCAGCAAAGGTACGTTACTTTCGACTTCTTCCATATCATTGTTAGGTGCTGGCCTCCGATTGCAATTTTCTAAGAAAAGAGGAATGAACGAGGATTCGAATCTATCTTTAAAGAGGATTTGAAGTAAAAAAAAGAGAAATGGATTTTTCAGTCCGAAAATCGCTGAAGCACATCATTTCGGGTCAAAACTCAATTTATCAAGCATCGAGCGCCTGTATGAAATTCCCATTCGCCAAAAATCGTATGAATCAAATCTGAAATAATAAATGAACTAAATTGCAGTTGTTCCTAAACAAGACAGCATATCTACACCATTAAATCAGCAACTAAGCTAATTGAATTACCGAAGCATTTACACGCTTAAAAACCAAGAAATGGAAAAAAAGCAAAATAATGCATAAACAGAAGTATACCTAAATAGGTATATATGACTAAATTTTAAAGATTAACTATTAAACTAATCTAACTGTCCACTGTAGAAATCCAAAGCACAAATTTTCAATTAGACAACTGCATCTCTCGCAACGGTTCTTAGATAAAAAAGTTGTCTCGATATATCGGTAGTATCTCAAAATTATATAGAGACGAAGGTAGTCGATCTTTTTCTTTGTCAGAGACGGGCAAGTCCAAATCCGAACTGATAAACTTTTTCACATAGACTGGGACTAAAGGAATAAGAAACTTGGACTGACTTTTTTTCACAATTGAGACTAGACTCTTCAGTTCAAATCTGTTCACTCTTTTATTTCTTGAATGTTACTGTGTGGTCGGTTAAGATCAGTTGTGCTCAAAAGATGGCTGTCTTCGTTTCTTTTGCTGATTGATGCTCGTTTGCTAAAAAATCAAAAAGTTTCTATAGCAATACCGAATAATGATATTGCTGAGGAAATTTTGCGTTATTTGAAAGAAGAAGATGCAGATAGTAGTTTAATTTTCAATAAATCTTCACTGTATCCGATGTTTAGCACGCTAGCAACAAAGATACTATGCGTACTCAGCACTCGAGAGAGCGTTCTCTCAATCCGGTTTTATTATACCATCACATCGGTCAAAAATGACGAGAAAAACCCTCTCTTACTTTACTCAAATGTAACTTTTAAAAACATCGGACTTGCCCATCTGTTTTTTCGTGTCAGTTTCCTTGCAGTTTCTTTAACGGTTTCGGTTACATTGCATCGTTCTTAGTAACATAATATTCAAATTTGCTAATCGTATTCACACGTGAATAACATTAAATTTTAAACATTAAATGTCGAACAGAAGAACGATAAATACTAATGCCGCTGTAGAAAAACAGAAAGCACAGGTCATAATCGTTCCGATTTACTGCTAGGTGTTTTTCTTCTCGTTGACGAGCAGCAAGTCTTTTATTAAATCGAACCAGACATCAAACGATAAGTATTGTTCACATCAAACTAAGCGCTTGTTGTACGCGCGAAGCATAGGAATTTATTCTCTGCTTGTCAAATGTGTTCTTTTCAAGGTAATTTCTATTTATTTTTTCCAGACTTTGATGCTTTTCTTTAATATTCTTAGAAAAAGAGGAAAACTGACTTGAAAAGAGGATAAAAAAAGAGGACTACACAAAAAAAGAGGAAAAAGAGGATGAATCGGAAGCCAGGTTAGGCGGTAGTATTTTGAACTTCGACATTGCCACTTTTTGCTAATTGTTCTAAAAAAACATGAATACACAATTTTAGTAGGATCAAAACTATAAGTTTTCTAATCAAATAGCTCAATCTGACAAATATTTTCTAATTGATAAAGAAAACGTAAATTAATAAGACTCTCTCTTTCTCTCTGACGCAAAACTCTAAAAGATATGTTCTCTTATTGTTCATTGACCACTGCTGTACAAAGGAAGCTTTTCTTACCCTGTTCTCGTCTGATTGTTATTTCTTTTAATACTTCACGTTTTTCAGCTTCTTTCTTTGCTTCAAGGATGCCCGGTCTGAATGTATAAACGCCTCCAATAATACCAGCAGTAAGGGCAACAAAAAAATCCGTCAAACGAATACGCTTTCTAATAATTAAATCAGGAAAACTCCATCCCATTGTTCTGAAAATAAGACAAAAGTAGAAAAAATTAATATTTAGGTAGTCTAAATCACAACCATAAAAGATCCACTCCATAGGAGCCATCAGAAGATAATCAATAAAAAAAAACTATACCATTCATTCTACATAATGGTATTTTTGAGAAGCTTGATGCTCCATAGCGATCGTTAAATTTCGATGAAAATTTGTGTTGTCTTTTTGGACATCGAAAACACTTCTTTGCTACTACAATATCATTCATTGCAGAGAAGAAACAATACGCTTTAGATACGTGGTACTTTGTAGACTAAAGAATATCGTCAACATCTTTTATCCATTGATAAAAATGCATTCTTTTATGTTTTAGAAATTATTGGTATTTTTTTCGACAAAATAGTGAATTATAACTTTATACTATGGAAACAAAACTCGAGTAGTTACACAAAAAATAATGATAAAAACAATCAAAAGATTTTCAACTATTACAAAAAGCTACAAAAATGAACCAAATATTAGATGTTATTTAGCAGTGAAATAATGTATAGTAACACTTATTAGTTATCAATTTAACCGAATACAATAATGGAGAGCATCTCAAAAACCATGCTATATAATGTATGAATACAGTTTCCATGATATGTGATAAATACGAATCCACGATTAGATTCGTGGATTTCGATATATCTTAATTTTTAAGAGTTTATCGTAAGAGCATTATTCCGATAAAATGTTACAGTTAAGTACATCCCTCCTCCGCGGATGAAATTCTCTGCTAAAAATGGATCACTCGAAAATGCCCATCGTGACATATCTTGTCGATAGACTACGTCGCCTAGATTTAACATATTTGACTCAAGATAAACTGTAAAAATGATTTGCTCACAACGGAATAGAACTAAGACTCTTTCTCTACTTTTTTATCTATATTACGTTTTCGATCAAGAGCTCGTTTCACGAAAAAATTTTTAAGTCAAAAATGATAAAAAATCGAATTCACAAAAAAGACCTAAGCCTCATTTTCACTTAAGTTATACACTTAACTCAGATTTGAGCTTTTTTCTAGAACAAGCTCCACGGGGTCGTATTATAAAAAACTTAAATCACCGACTTAAGCCATGACCTAAGTCTAAGTTTAAGATCGACTTCAGTTTGGGGACTTAAATCGCGTTACGAAAAAGACTTAACACTAGAACGTCCGTAGCGGTCATTTTGACCGTTTTGTGATTTTTATCCCTAATAAAACAAACTGCACACATTTTATTTAAAAATAAATTATGTCATAACTTTTAATTTGTCCCACAAAAATTATTTTTTGCAGAATTTTTAATTCATTTTTGAATTCAGAATCATTTTTAAGTATAAAATTTTTAAAAAACTAGTAAC